AAAATCATTAAAAAAATAAAAAATAAAAAGAAAACAACTTCAATACTTTTTAGGATATGTTATAATAGAATAGAATAATATAATATAATATAATATAATTATAATTATATAATACATTAATAACGAGGAAAGCTACAATACTTTCCACATGCTTTTTAGAGTATTACTTAATACAATATATTAACAATGAAGAAATAATTAGGAAAGTTAGAAGGTCTGGAAAAAGCTATAGCACCTTCCGCACGCCTTCTCTATGCCTTTTAGAATATTATTTAATATATATAAACTTCAATCGTGAAATTTATACATGTAATTGGGCTTTGTCGGTAAAATTCCTCACTTCACCCTCTACTATGTCGTGGGTTTAAAGTACACAATGAATTTATATTATTATTATTATTATTATTATTATATAAAAATTGATATTTAAATGTCATGGGCATGTTTCAAGCAGACAATAAAAAAAACCAACAATTCAGGTTATATTCATATCTAGATAAAATAAATAAATTTTATTTGAATTAAACAATAAAAATACATGTAAAAATAGTATATTGATAATTATTTTAAAAAATAGACCAAGATAATAACAAAAAAAAATATGTGTTTGTATAAAGTTAGATAAAAAATAAATAAATATTTTTTGATCCAAGTCAAGTAATAAAGGACAAGCCAACCATGATTAATTCGCAAAAATTATAATTCATGCCATGAGATTAGGATAATTTAATATAAAAAAGTTTAACAAAGCTATAAAATCATTTTTTTAGTAATATATATATATATATAAAAGCTACATAAAAAGATGTTGATGTACGTTAATTTTCTAAACTCATGACTCGTATTATTAAAATAGAAACATTATATGTGAAAAAATCACAAAACACAACTCTTTACATATCAAATATTAAATGATACATACATACATAATGATTAAAGAAAAGTAGTAATTAAAAAAAAGATAAAAAATAAATTAGAGGGCAATAAAAATATTTCTATTGAAACATGGAATCAAGAATAGAATTTTTTTAACAAAAATAAAAAAAATTCTAAAAGAACAAGTATCAAATTAAAAAAAAAAATACACCATACAAATAAATTAAGGGGTGAAATTGAAAACCACTAAAAGTTATTCAAAAGGGATAAGAAGAAAAAATAAAAAATGAAAAGCATAAGGACCAAAGTGGAAAAAATAACAATTTTTTTTTGAGATTTAATGATAAAATTTTTTAAAAATAAAAAATTTATAAAAGGTCTAAAGGCATAATTCTTTTTTTAAAAAAGACCAAATCTAAAAACAAAACAAATTGAGGGACAACTCTAATTTAATTGGAGGGCTAGGTGTGAAAACCAAAAGGGAGAGACAGGACAAGGAGCAAAAAAGGGCCCATGGTTCGTTTCAGGACATGCGCTAGTCTAACACGAAGGGGCCGCTAAGAGGATTCAAATGCGCTAGTCTTGGGTTATATTTATGTGGGCCTAGATTCGTTAAAATATCAGTTGATATCAAACTATAAATGGTTGGTGATGGATTCGTTGCAGTTGCTGTGATAGCTACATTGCATGACGCGTGGATCAAACCTGGTAGGGGTGAGCATTGGTGGATTCCATATGATCTTGATTAAAAAATCCAATTGAATCCATTTTTCATTTTTTTAACCCAACTGAATAAACAATCAACTCAAACTAGATGTTCCAGTTCAACTTTGTTTGGTTTTATATTTAAGGAAACCAAATTAGTCCATGTTCTTTTTAATTGGATTTCTCCTAGAGGCTTTGATGTTATGAGTGTGGGCTTTTTTTATTTTCTATTTAAAAATCCAGCTCAGTTTTCTATTTAAAAAAAATTTAAATTAGTCCATTAATGTTGGGCTATTTGAAGAAGTTTTGATATAAAGATTATTTTTTAAAATATTTTTTATTTAAAAATATATTTAAAAACATTTTTTTTATTTTTTTAAAATTTATTTTTAATACTAGCATATCAAAATAATATAAAAATACTAAAATTTAATTTAAATTAAAAATAATAAAAATTTTCAAACTTTTTTTTAAAAAACTTTTGAAACATAAAAACAAATTAAATTTTAATTGGATTCTTTTATTTTATATTTTAAAAAATCAGTTTGGTTAATTGATTTCATTTGAAAATTTTAATTGAAACAAATTAAATTATTTTTTTTAAATTTTCTAATTGAGTTTTTTAGTTGATTTGTTTTTTTTGTTAATTTCAAATTAGTTTTTTTCTATTAGTGGATTATTTTGCTCGTCCCTGAAACATGCATATTTTTACAAGATAAGATAATAATGACTGTAGCAGTAGTAGTGAAGGACCTTGAAAAAGATAAATTTCAGTTTTGGAATAATTCCGATTAGCTAAATAGCTACACTGAATAAGATGGTCGGTGCTTGGTGTTATTGTTCAGAAAAAGAAAAGAAAAGAAGCATGGTCAGGGGAGGACTTCCGTCATGCTGAGCACATATTAATGGTGAAATTGTTATCATTGGATTATCTCCAGGAGTTACGTAGAATCCATGTGCCATAAGCCATTCAACACTGCATTACCATTTCACCAGTTCTTCCAAGGATCTGCACTTGTAGGCTGCACACCTCAGGCACAGTTTAAGACTCCGTCGACTACAATAATGGCGTGCTTTTTTGCCATTACAACCCCTGCAGGAGGCGGCATTGGGATAGCCATTGCTTCACTTCACAATCCGAACAGCCCCGGAGCCTTGGTTGCTGAAGGCATCTTAGATTATATGTCAGCTGGAATTCTAGCTTACATGGCTTTCGTCGACCTTATTGCTGCTGATTTTTTTGCAGAAAGGAGATGAGCTGCAACTTTAAACTTCAAATACTACTAATGAAGCTGTGAAAAACCTTACACGTATTGGGCTTTTCATAGCTTTAGTCTTGAACTTTTGAGTGACCTACAAACAAGTTTCCAATAAGAGGAGGGAGCTTTCCGTTATTTAAATTAGTAAATATTAAAAATGTTAAATAATATTCTTATTTTTTATTAAAAATAGAATAATATTTTCAATTTAATCTATATATATTTTATTTGTATTTAAGTTAAAACTATACACTCATAATAACCTCCTATGTTTGTTCTTAATTAATTTAACAAAAAGAATATATATATGTGGAAAAAGAAATGCGTGTAGAGAGTGTTTGTATAGTAGTAATATATGGTGCTAAAAATTATTGCATGCTTTTCCTCGCGGCTGGATTGATATCTCCACTTGCAATCTGGGCTCGAGTTTATTATTCTTAGATGAGTTGTTTACTTTCAATCTTCAGAAGAATATACAAAGAAACTAGCTACCTGCCTGGTGGTGGGCTGACCACACTGCGCAGCCAAGGAGGTGGTCAAACAGTTTTGCGGGGCTGCGTTTCATAGGCTTACTTGCCTAACTTCCAACTGTAATCGCTAATCCGCTACTACAACTGGACCAGAGATTTTCCCATCATTTCAGAAGTTCCAACTGCGTTAACATTTTGCTCTTTCGTAGAGAATTTCGCGGATTCAAATTCAATGAAGAAGTAACTTCGCCGTAAATAGAGTTCAATATAAACAAGGACCGCTCACCTTAACGTAGCTCAGGTTTCAAGATTAGATTAGGAGGGGCCTCACTGTGCACAGGGTGGGTACTCCCCCCACCTCTGAAAATAGCCCCTCAACCAATATTTAATAAAGAATAAAATTAATTTTTTTCATAACAGCCATTTACTTGTTTCCTTTGATCTTATCTCAATCCCACAAAAAAGATTAAAATTTATATCCATTCTTCAAGTTGATTAGAAGACAAAGTCACGGCCAAGCTAATATGAACAACTAATCAATTTTGATTAATTCTTTGTTTTCATTCACGTAGTTAAAGCAAGATCAAACATCTTCTTTCTTCCGCTCAGGACAGGCAATCTGTGAACTTGACAAACAAAAAATGGTTCATCTTCTTTCTGTGTATCATAAACAGGTTTGGTTTGGTTAAGTAGTTTGTTATCAATATATTATTTTTCAAGGTAAGAACTTTCAAGGTGTTTAAATTAACAAATACATCCGGACCCAAAATGCTGGAAAATGGATCTATCGGGTCAGATCATGGGTCATTATTTTGAAAACAGCCAAACCCGACCCGACCCGACCCATGTATATTGGCAACCATATGGACATTAATTACGGCTAGGGTAAAACGTTAAAATCTCGAGTCCTTAACACATGCAACCCTGCTATAAATACATAACGATCTTCTCTCCATTCTCTTCCACTTCACAGCCGCTCGTTACTACCATTAATCCTCTTCCTTCCTTCCTTCCTTCCTTCTGGAATCAATCATCTTTCACAACCCAAAACATTTCAAAATCCTCTATTAATGGGATTAGTTGGCCTTTGGGCGGCGATGCCTCTAGCCTCCTTGAGTGAGTGTTTTTTCTCTCGAAAGTAGCGACGTCCTTCTTAGATGCTGCTTGTAAACTGTAAAGGCTATGCCTTTTACGAAAATGAAAGTTTAATCGTTCAAAGAACTGGAAGAACGATCCGTCAACATGGTCCCTTCATTAAGAAGAAGGTATCCTCTTTGTTTTTTAGCCATGGTGTTCAAATATTAGGGCAATGCTGTGAGACGTATGGTAGTTTTTGTTTTTGCGTACAAACTGTATTTTTGAATTTTTTTAAAATTATTTTTAATGTGATGATGTTAAAATTAAAATTTTAAAAATATAAAAATTATTAATTTAATATATTTCTAAATAAAAAACACTATAGAAAACTACTAAACTCTCTATTTATTTATTTATTTATTTTTACTTTTTACCAAACCACTGTGCAGTAAAAAAAAGCATGTAAATCAGGCAATAGCATAGCGTTGGTGCTTAGAAGTAGTAACAGTATTTATAACATCCTTAAAACCCTAGTTCCACTTCAGTTTCACTGTCACTCTTCCAGTTAAACCCAACAAGGTGGCTCTCTCCACCAAATCAAATGCCCCTCTTTTCTCACCGCCACCCATCCTCCTCCGCCATCCCAACCACCATCAATCCCAAAACTTCAAAACCATCGAAACCCAATTTTATACCTCCTTCAACCCGCTACCCTCTACCTCTTCTGGTCTTTTCACTCATCTCCCTTCTCATTGGACTTTCTGGCACAATCTTCGCTATCTCGGCGATCCGCAGACCCAAACCTGTTCCTGTTTTTCGCTGTGGCAGATCCGAGGACACTTTTCGAGCATTTTATTCGGGTTCGGGTAGAACCCGAGGTGATGATAACGGAGCATTGATTGACAGGCCTAAGCTTCTTGGGTTTGTGGGGATTCAAACCGGGTTTGAATCGGGTGATCGCCGGGCTGCACTTAGAAGTACTTGGTTTCCTTCTGACCCAGATGGACTTTTGAGGTAAAATCGTGATCTTTGTGTACAAATTCGAGAACTTGAGAGATGTTTTATGTTTCTTTCGGGGGAGCCAAATGGGGGCATAAGTTAATGGAAGGAGAGATGAATATCATGTCCTCTCTGTTGCAATACATTCTAGTAAGATTGTTCTTCCATATAATGTTATGTCTTGGGGAACTTGGGGCAGTGATGTCATTGATAATCCCAGCTCTATGAGATCTTCAATTTGAAGATCCAGGAATAGATGTTATCAATTTCTGTCTGAGCCTATAACACTGTCCTACTATTTCTATCTGAGCCTATAACATTCTTCAAGTAAGATATTTCATTATAGTTTAGTAATTTTGAGTCTTGAGGAACTTGGTGGCAGTGATGTCATTGATAATCCCAGCTCTATGAGACCTTCAATTCGAAGGTCCGGGAATAGATGTTATCAGTTTCTGTCTGAGCCTATAACACTGTTCTAGTTCATTTTGCTTTTATTATCTCAAGTCTTCAGGGACTTGGTGGCAGTGATGTCATTGATAATCCCAGCTCTATGAGACCTTCAATTTGAAGGTCCAAGAATAGATGTTATCATTTTCTGTCTGAGCCTATAACACTGTTCTCGTTCATTTTGCTTTTGTAATCTCAAGTCTTCAGGAACATGGTGGCAGTGATGTCATTGATAATCCCAGCTCTATGAGATCTTCAATTTGAAGATCCAGGAATAGATGTTATCAATTTCTGTCTGAGCCTCGAACACTGTTCTAGTTCATTTTGCTTTTATAATCTCAAGTCTTGGGGAACTTGCTGGCTATGATGATCATTGATAATCCCAGCTCTATGAGCTCTTCAATTGGAAGGTCTAGGAGTACTTATGTTTTCAATTTCTGCCTGAGCCTAATAATATTCTTGAGTAAGATATTTTATTATACTTTGATATTTTACAGTCCTGAGGAACTTGGTGGCAGTGATGTCATTGATAATCCCAGCTCTATGAGATCTTCAATTTGAAGATCCAGGAATAGATGTTATCAATTTCTGTCTGAGCCTCAAACACTGTTCTAGTTCATTTTGCTTTTGTAACCTCAAGTCTTGAGGAACTTGCTGGCTATGATGATCATTGATAATCCCAGCTCTATGAGATCTTCAATTGTAAGGTCTAGGAGTATTATATGTTTTCAATTTCTGCCTGAGCCTAATAATATTCTTGAGTAAGATATTTTATTATACTTTGATATTTTACAGTCCTGAGGAACTTGGTGGCAGTGATGTCATTGATAATCCCAGCTCCATGAGTTCTTCAATTTGAAGGTCTAGGAATAGATGTTATCAATTTCTGTCTGAGCCTATAATGTTGTTCAAGGAAGATATGCAATATTTTGTTTTTTGTTCACACATAATTTAGTAATATTTTCTCTATCCTAGTTAGATTCTTTTTTCTGCTGTGAAGTTTTACTTTGACATCAGGTTATTTATGGATCCAGCATGCTATGATCTTATTGAAAAGATCAAGTTCACTGCTGCTTTATTGTAGGTTGGAGCAAGCTACTGGTTTAGCATTTAGGTTTGTAATAGGGCGCTCAAAGGATGCAAAGAAAATGGCCCAGCTTGAGAAAGAGGTGGATAGGTACAGAGATTTCATGCTCATAGATGTCGAGGAAGAATATCTAAAGCTTCCATACAAAACGTAATAGTTCCTTTTCTGCAGTAAGGTTTCCTAATGTGGATTCGATTGATAGCTTGTGGAGTAATGCCTTTCTCCTGTTATTAGGTTGGCCTTTTTCAAGGCAGCCTTTAAGCTTTTTGAAGCAGATTATTATGTCAAAGCTGATGATGATATCTATTTGCGCCCAGGTATACAATAGCAATTGTAATGATTTATCAGCAAGGTATACTGCAATTAATGTTGATATTTTTTCTTTGTTAGATCGCCTTGCAACTCTTCTCGCCAAGGAAAGAACCCACTCACTGACTTATATTGGATGCATGAAGAAAGGACCAGTGATCACTGATCCTAAAATGAAATGGTATCCAGTCATCACATATTTTTTACTGTTGGATTTGTCATTATTTTTTACAGTTCGTTGGCGTGGGTTCTTGCTAGTTGCATGATTTAGGTAATTTTTCAACAATTCAGGTATGAGAAATCGGGACATCTGATTGGAAATGAGTACTTCCTGCATGCTTATGGACCTATATATATTCTTTCTGCAGAGGTTGTGGCTTCATTAGCATCTGCTAGAAATAACAGGTCTGGCATTTATGTAGGACTTTTTTGCACTGATTCCTTATGTTTGTCATCCTATGTATCCAGCCAGCCAACTTAATAATCCACACTTCTAATAACCTACTTTGCATGGATAAGTATGGTTATTGTTTTGATGGAGGTTTCAATAGACTTCAGCATACTTTTCTTTTATTGGTAAATTGATGGCTTTCCATGTTAATTGTTATCTGCTAATTGGAAATCAGATTCATGACAAGTTTGAAGTTGGATCACAAGAAATGGATTTTGGAAAGAGTTACAATTTAGAACTATAAAGACCAGCAAATTTTCAGTTTTGATTTAGAGCCTTGAAGTTCTTTAATCTTGCCATTTTAAATTTTACTCGTTGATTATGCTCGTCAACGGTAGCTTTCATGGCTTCAATGCCTCACTACAACATACTGTCCAACTTTAAATGCCTGTCTTTGAGAACTTGTTTATGATAGGATGATTGACTCCCTTCTCCTTGGTGTTCTTTCTCATCATCCCGATTCCTCAATTGTCCCCAAGGCCATTATCAAAATATCTTCTTTATCAGGAGTAGTTAGATTTGTAGCTATTCTCCCAATACAGGAGAAGCTATTTTAAAAGAGGAAACAGTATGGCTGCTGTCACAAGCCCTCACATTAGTTAGATTTTTAGCTATTCTGCCAATACATAGGAAAAAGTAGGTTGAATTAAAAGATGATGTCCACTAAGTCTTCTGGTCTGTGTTGTCTGAACTGCTTACTGATCTAAACTTCATTTGGACTCGGGCAATATTTTTCTTTCTCTAGTGCTACTGAATTTGCTTATTGGAGCGAGTTTTCATACAGAAGCCTTTTTATCCTCTTCCTTTCTTTTGGAGTCATTTTCATGCTGTAGTCTTGTTTTCCTTTGGATGTGCTCTCGCTCAGTAGGTTCATCTTTTAGCTTTCAGTTTGAGAATGTTCAGCAATGAGGATGTCACCATTGGATCGTGGATGCTTGCAATGAATGTTTATCATGAAGATAACCGAGCCATATGTGATCCCCGATGCACTCCAACATCTATAGCAGTTTGGGATATTCCTAAATGTTCTGGTAATACTCTATTCCTTGAATTCCTGAAGACATTTCCCTTTTCATGTTGTTTGCTAAAACCTTAATTAATGGATAAATGAACAATATCAGGTTTATGCAATCCGGCTAGTCGGATGAAGGAGCTTCACAAGATTGATATGTGCTCTAAAAGTCCAACATTGCCCCCTGATGATAGATAGTGTCCAATCAGCCAGAACTTATGCTTGCATAACACTGACGTAGCAATATAGGCTGTTTTTGAACAGGGTGCTGGGTTTCTGCAGGACAAGTATCTTTCCCCAAAGAGCAATAGGGGCTTTTGTATTCTGCCATTCTATTCTCCATGTAAAGACCGTATAGCCATGCAATGCATTATCTTCAAGTTGCTAGATAAGTTAATAGCACTATTAAAGGAGTGCTTGATTCTTAAAACACCGAACATGAGAATCGAGTGTCGTTAGACACGTAGAATACCAGCACCATGGGATTATGGTCACTTGGGTCGGGAGACTCATTTTGAGTTTGTTCTAGGATTCAAGCGAGGGTATCTGCCTGTACTAGTGATCTGATTACTGTTTTTTGGTTTGCCCATACGAGTATGGTGTATAATTTGTATGTACTTTAATTGTTATATCTCCACTGAAATGAAATCACACTGTTCTCTTTAATTTGTGCTCTCTTTGTTCATTTTTACGCTTGTCACGTCCTTGGCTGCCTGTGATGAACTTGTGTAAGAATCACATGGAATAAGTTTCATGTTGCTTGGCCATCATTTCCTGGGAGCTTATCAAGTTTGTGTTTTGCGGAGGAAGGCAAAGGAGAGCTATGCTATTTAGGGTTTCATCTACTGCATCATTGGATTCTTCACGAGTTAAATTCAACGTGTGCTTCTCTTTTAAGGATCCTGGCGGTCTGAACATCGAAAACAAGTAGGCGTTTTAGCTATAATAACAATAACTGGAATGGCTGACCAATATGAATATCCACAACTCTTTTTTTTTTTTTTTCTGGATAAAACTTGGTTGGACAAAAATAGAAAATATAATAAACACAGCCAAATAGGTTTCGCCTATGAAAATATTCTTTAAGTCATAAAAAAAATCTATTTATATTACTAACAATCAAATAAATGATTTCAAGATAAAATAACTGCAGGTGCATTTGCATTTGCTTTGGAAATAACTATCTCCTAAATACCTGCCAGAATCCATCATCTTCCTAACACAATTGCAATACCCTTCATCATCAACACAGGCTAAATCCCCTAGCACAGATGTGAACTCGTGTAATTTTTTATTCCTGATGGTATAGGCAATCACACCAGACGGTTCCAACAACCAATGAAGAGCACCTGTAAAGAATACCGAGGGTCCAGACAACATAAAATTGTCCATAGGCTAAATTGCAGGAGAAGTACCTGTCGTCTATGTTTTGCTAATGGAAGTGTAGATATTTACTCGTATAGAACCACCGTCATCAGTAAGCTCCGCAACAGTAAAGTTAGGGTTGATAGAGTAAGGATCAAAGGCAAAGCCATATACAAGAAACCCTTTGATTCTTAAGGAAGTATCTGGTTTTTCAACCAGAGATGGAGCTATAGGGAGGGTGATGTAATCGGCATTGGAAGGGTCATAGACAATAAACGAGGAATTTCCTTTACGAAAGTAGGAATCGTAAAGAAGGATCAACCCATTGGAGGACTTCGATGGGGCTAGATTTCCACCACAAGTGCCATAACTATCATCTTGTGGTAGAAGCATTGGCATTGGTGGCCCCAAACAACATCCCTGGTAGGTATTGTAGTTAAAATTGTAATAGTTCAAGGAGGAGTAGTCGTCCTGGTCTCGCAAGAGCACATGGAAGTTCTTAATAAACTTAATGGCGTCCTTGATAAACTTCTAGTACATTTGAAGTTCTACTAGTTAAAATCCTTTCGATGGAAAAAAAGACTCGAGGCTTCTTTGGCAGTTCTCAAAATCTCCGAAGAATCTTTTGATCGGTCTCTATAGATTTCATCTTACTATATATTATATTAACTGTCCACAAAAAAATGTAGAGAAAGCAAATAAATAACGGCAAGCAGTGAGAAAACTCTTGCTTAGATAATTGGCTAGCACTTCCTTTTGTGACTGCAAACAAAGCCTCAAGGGTCTTTCGATTTGGTGTTGAAGCCATTGTCCCATGCTGAATGAACCTCAAAAAATTGCTTCATGTAATTGCCAATACTTTCCTATTAATCTCAGAGCTTCAGAAAGGGGGCAAAACTACAAGAGCTGGCACAATTTGCAAGAGACTTTGTGACTGCGTGAGTTTGGTTGCAAATTTGTAGCCATCACAATTGCAAGCATGCATGTATTGAAATAATACACACACAAAAACTTCAAGGGTTTTCTGTTTATTTTATAGCTAGATACAAGAACAAGACATGGTGGATAGCTACATGTACATAGATTTCACTAGATAGCTAGGCCGTTGTGATATGTGTACTGTTCTTGGACCGATCAGATGTTTTTTAATATAAAAAATATCTAAATTATTAAAACATTTTTAAAGGAATAAAAAAAATCTAGGACCTAGATTATTGTTTAAATGAGTTTAATAAGTTTAGTTAATTTAAAAATATAATTAAAAAAATCAAACAATAAAAAATCTAAAAGAAGAACAACATAAACTAATAAAAAAAATAAAAAGTTTATCATTATTATAAAAAAGATATCTTCTATTTTTTAAAAAAAAAATTAATAATTTTATTTGATAAAAAAATAAAAATTAAATAAGAATGAAATAACTTCACTACCAAAAAAAATATGAAGCACAATTACTAGTAAATTAATACTGAGAAGAACATTTAAAAAATAATTTTTTTTTAAAATAAAAAAATCTTCACTACCAAAAAAAATATGAAGCACAATTACTAGTAAATTAATACTAAGAAGAACATTTAAAAAATAATTTTTTTTTAAAATAAAAAAATATAACTTGAATTAATTTGTAAAATTCAAACTTTATTTGTGAAACTAAAATCTTGAATTAATTTGTCAAATTCAAACTTTATTTGTGAAACTAAAATACCCTAATGCAAAAATATATAAATAATAAATAATAAAAATCAACTCTTAAATAAAGTAAAAGATGGAAAGAAAAACTAAAAATAAAATAATATAAAAAAATAAAATAAAACCCGAGTTAACTATTACCATATAAAATAATAAAATAAAACCCGAGTTAACTATTACCCTTTTAGCTAATCCAATAATTTTGTCTTCAAAGAATAAAATCATCATTATACTATCTAAATTTATAGGGAAACATTTAGCTACTTTAGGTTTCTGTTGATATATGTGAAAAAGGAGGCATACTTCAGGAAGTTTGCGGCCAAACATCTCATTGTCCACTCCGGGGATGAAATTGAAATTAAAATTAAAACTAAAACGTGAGAGTGATTGTTCTGATCAGTGCAGCAGTGCATCCTGCTGATAGGGGCTTGTGCACTTCGTGCAAGTACATTTTTCCCTTGATTTTTTTTTTAAAATAAATAAATCAAAGAGATTGTGATGGGCCACACACATATAAAAAAGCTGCTCGTTTTTCACGAGTTGACGGGTCGTTAATGGGCCTCGGAGCCTTATCCGCTAGCTCGACGAGAGCATTTTTCATCAATGATCATGGCCCACTTAAAAACAAAAGGAGCCAGTTTTGATTTGGACGCAGGGTGGTGGTAAAGGCATGAGGATAATGCCGTGGCCCAAATGGCATATCAGCTTAGTAAAAGGAATCCAATAGGATTGGATTTTAAATTTATTTCAGGGTTATTGAATATTTGTATAATTTTTAATTTTTTAAATTTATAAAATTAATATGTAAATTGTTCGATCATTTATATTAAATAAATAAAAATCTAATAGGAGGTAAGGTGTGGTCTGGGAGTCGATTTAAAGCCTATTTGGAAATATGTTTATTGTTGTTTTTTTAAATAGTTTTTTATATCAAAATACATGTTAATAATATTTTTTTAATTTTTAAAAATTATTTTTAATATTAAATACTTCAAAATAATTTGAAAATATTAAAAATATATTAATTTAAAAGTTTTTGACATCTTACTGGTTCTTGCATTTACAATTTAAAAAGATAAATTAAAAAAACAATAAAATATAGTTTTTTATAATTAAGATTTTAAGTGAGGGTGCTATATGAAGCACATGTAAAGCTAAGGTATATATTAATGAACTAAACACACTTAAAACTATATTTAAGATTAAAAAAAAGTTTCAACTATACCATATCATACTGCAAAAAAAATAAACTTAGTTCTTCACGAGTTGTTTATGATGAGGGATGAAAGATTTATATATATCTGTTAGATACTAACCCAACTTGACCTATATGAATATAATTTTTTTTATCCGATGAAGTTGGGGTAATATCCAATAAAAAGATTAGATTTGAGTAGAATATGAATATTATCTTTCCAAACTCAAAACCCTACTCAAACTAAATTATAAACCCTAAAAACTAAAAAAACTAAAATTGTACCAAACTTAATTAGGGTTGCCATTTTCCAGTTGCTCAGATGCCTTCTCAGCTGATTTCTCTTCTCTTCTTGATACCTCCCTGACTATACTTTCCTCTTAAGGCCTCTCTCTCTTCCTTCTTTTAAGCTATATTTTCAATCTTTTTTTCTTTACAATAACTTCAAAGTCTTTTCTTTTTTTCCCTAAAGGAAGGAATTTATAAAGTGACGAGGGTGGTGTTTCAAAGGAAGATAAAGTATGGGTTCTTATGCATTAGAGTTGGGTATTATTAAAAAATAATATAAATTATATTTTAAAATTTCATTTAATAGCTTAAACTTTTAGGATGAATTGATTATTTAATATAATATCATAGTCTTAATAACTAAACGGTCACAAGTTTAAATTTTACTATCTTCATTTATTTAATAAAAATTTAAGCATAAAATAATATATATACATATAAGTTTCAAGATCATAGCGTTTTCACTTAAGAGGATGTGTTAGAAAATAATATAAATTATATATTGAAACTTTACTTAACAACTTCAACTTTTGTTTTGAATTGATTCTTCGACAACCGTGAAACTACAAATATTTTTTTCTTTTCTTTTCTAGCAGTGAGTATTTGGTGACTTCTTCCAAGGTTTTTTTTTCATGTTATTTTTTATAGTTTTATTGTTTATATTGTGTGGGAATTATAAATGTGTTTCATTACGTGGCTAAAGATTTTGATTTTTTCTTTACAAAGAAAGTATATTGAGTTTTCTATTTTTCTATTTGTTTAGATGATTAATCTCGATGGGTTTTATCTTCTCATGTAAACAAGATAAGAGATTTAAAAGGTACATTGAGTTCTCTCTATTAGTTTTGGTGGTTTTGTTTTATTTTTTAATGTATTGATTCTAGTGATTTTGATTTATTTTCAAAAGAGAGATATATGGAATTTTTTGTTACTGACTTGCTATATCAGTTTTGGTTTTGATCTTGAAGGATTTTATTTCTTTGAGATGCTTTACAAGGCTTATTATTTTTTTGCTATAATATTGTGTGTTAATGAATTTGATCAATGTAAATTTAATTGATTCTTGAATTGCTTTGTTTTTATTTATGCAAATTTAATTAAGTTGAATTTAGGTTAGTCAGGCTTACTT